AAAAAAACAAAAAAACAAAAAAACAAAAAACAAGATGCCAGTGCCTTCAAAGATGAAGATCAAGGAATATTCCAGGTTGAAGGAGGTGGAGGGACATGATTTAATCCTGGCGGGAAAGAAGTTTTACCCTTTGGACAACTAACAGAATTAGATTACGGACAGGTAGGTTAGTTTAAAATAATAGATCGACATTAAACTTCTGGACTTTGTTGGTCATATTGTGGCATATGAAAGGCCATCTTTGCTCTCAGGAGTTAGACAGGAAGGATCATGCTATTTGCCATTTCAGCTGGCCTCCGAAAGTACAGCGCAGGGGGGCCTGGTGGTGCACGCCTGTAATCCCAGCAAGAGGCTGAGGCAGGAGGATTGCTGTGAGTTCAAGGCCAGCCTGGGCACATAGTGAGTTCAAGGTTGGTCTGAACTGTGTAGTGAGAGTCTGTGTCAAAAACCCCAACAAACAAACAAATAAACAAAAACCAAAAAAAACAAACAAACAAAAAAACCCGCCCCAAACAGTGTAACAACAGTGGCAGGCAGAGAGGGGAGGAGAAAAGAGAAAGAGTGCAGGAGAGAGACGGAGGTCCAGGCTGACGTGACAGCTGTGGAAAAGCTGGCAGGTCTGGTACAGAAAGGCCTCTAAGCAAGCGCTGAAGAAATGTGCACCTGTGCGTGTGAGAAACGCTCGGGAAAGACAGGAAAAGACGCTGTCAGATTCGCTTTCCGTTTCTGGGCGAGCCCTGATCGCAGCTGGCGTGGGTGGCCAGGAGATCCCACCCCACACGCAGGCTGACCCTCCCTGTGTCACTGACACTTGCGCCAGACACCTGGGCCACAGGAGGCTGGGTCTTCCGGAAGGAGATGGAGTCCGCCTGGGGAAGCTCAGAGTGAGAGGCGGAGCAGAGGAACATAGGCCAGAATAGAGAGGAGGCTGGCGGGGAAGGAGGCCAGGCAGGCTCGGGTCGAGCCCGCGGCCGTGGGAGGTGAGAAACATCCTGCTGTAAACGTCGCTCTCCACACAGGCACCCTCCACCCTCCACACCGGGACTGCGCAGTGACAGATGACAGCTCGTAAACCCGGGGCAGAGGCCCCAGGCGGGTCCAGAGGAACGCAGAACTCTCAAAGCATTTCACAACTTGGGAGCTGAAGGAGCGAGGCCCTTGATGGTAGACGGGATATCTACCCAGAGGGACCCAGGGGGACACAGAGCGGCACGGCCGCCCCCTGGCCGGGGTGCGCCTTCCCTCCTCCTCTTCCCTCTCCTCGGCCTGTGTCAGGGCCTCTGCCTCCAGTGACCCCTGAGCCTGCTCCTCCTCTCTTGTGGCCCTTCCCACCTTCCCCCACCCCCGCACCCTGTCCACGCCCCTCCAGACCTACCTCCAAGCGCGTCCGTGAGCCCAGCCCTGTCCTTCCTGCAGGGACAGCAGCCTGTGCCGCGGCTGGAGTGGGCAGGGGAGCCAGGGAGGAGCAGGCTGAGTTACAGACCTGCCCAGCCTGAGTGCCTGTTGCAGGCTGGTGGCCCAGCACCTGGGTTAGAGCCTTCTTCCCCCAGGGCGCCAGCCTCCCCTGCTGGCTTCTGCTGCCACTGTGACTGTGATGACGGTGCACTGATGATGGTGCTAGCTGCACGCTTATCTCGCACACCGGCACCGAGAAGGGACTCGGTTCTTGCGACGTTCCAGCAGGAGGCCGTGCAAGGTCATTGTGCACTGCACCCGGCAGATTGCAGCTGTGGCTTCAGGCGTCTCCACCCCTCCCGTGTGTATTTATAACCCGCGAAGGACCGGCCTGGTGTGACAGTAGCTCTTGCACCATCTCTAGCTCGGTTTCTGGCCCACGGCCCTTCCTGCTGAGCCCTGTGTCACCAGCCTCTCCTCCACCCCCAGCCCGACTGCTGCAGGGCCTGCGCACCGGCTGATTCATCTGACGGCCTGCGTCCGGCTCCTGTCATTCCTCCAACAGCTGCGAAGGTCACGGTCTTTTCAAGGCTTCCCCCAACTCCCCTTTTTACAACACGCTGTGATGGGGACTGGCTAAGTTGCCTAATTGCCCAGTCTGGGTTCAAACTTGCCGTCCTCCTGCCTCAGCCTTCTGAAGGACTGGGATCACAGGCCTTACAAGAGCACATTTCATGTTTTGGTGGCTGTGCAGTTATAATTGCCCCCTAATATGTCTCCCTGAAATTTGGGGTACCATGGTCCCAGGGGCGGGGTTGAGATCTCGGGCAGGGCAGGGGCGATGTCTTGCCTGGGGTCTGCCAGGGAGGCTGAGCGGTGGCCAGCTGAGGCTGGAGGCAGGCAGGGACATCAGCCCAGCGCACCTGCTCGCGTTCTGCCCACAGGGTCAGCGTAAGGCTGTCTGGATCTCCTCCCTCGTGATCGGCCTCTGGGGTCCAAGCATGGGTGTGCCGGGGAGCAAGGCTGGAGGGCGTGACATCTGTGATGAGGCTCGAGGTCTCACAGCAAAAAGCACGGGCTGAACGACACAGACTACTACAGTGGTAGATTTTACTTTCAAAATTAATTAAAAGTTGTCAGGCACAGTGTTGCCTGCCATTCATTCCAGCTACTTGGGAGGCTGAGGCAGGAGGATCACAAATTCAAGGTCAGCCTGCTCTACACAGTGAAACCCTCTCTCAAAATAAAACGAAACAGGCTAGGGATGTGGCTCAGCGGTGCAGCTCTTGCCTAGCACACACAAGGCCCTGGGTCCCACCCCCAGCATCAACTTTTTGTTTTGTTTCTGAGACAGGGTCTCACCATGGAGTCCAGGCTGGTTTGGAACTCACGGCGATCCACCTGCCTCAGCCCCCAGTGTGCTGGGATTAGAGGGGTGCACTACCATACCCTGTTTCTTAGATGTATGTATTTTAAGGCAACACACTAGCTCACCTTTCCAAGCCTCTGGCTTCTCCTCCATACAAGGGAAGATGCTGAACCCCAGCGCCTCAGGAGCAGTCATGTCATGGGGGTCAAAGCAGGGAAGGCGCGGAGCCCTCTGGACGAAGTGGACAGCCTGCGATGCGCTCTGCGCTCCCTGTAATCCGCAGCCCTCAGCTCACAGCGGTGTGACTGGGTTCCTTAGTAACTGCTTGGCTCCAGGCGTTGATGGATTGCTCAGGGTGCTCAGTCGGTCGTTTAACCTGGCTGCTCTCAAATAAAAGACAGGTGACAGGAAGCAGGGAGACGGATCTTCCGTAAATGGGAAGAGATGGGAGGGAAAGTAAAGAGAACAGAGGTGGGGTACCTCTGTGTACCGACTCCCAGCGATGGGTGCATTCATTATTTGCTGTGAACATGGGCTAATAAAGATCAAACTTGCAAAAATTAAAATAAAAATAACTGGCCGGTCTTTTTCTTTTACTTTGGAGACAGGGTCTTGTTATGCAGTTCTGGCTGGTCTTGAACTCACTCTGTAGCCCAGGCTGGCCTTAGACTTGCAGCAGTCCTCCTGCCTCAGCCTCTCCAGTGCTGGATTACAGGTGTGCACCACCATGTCCATAAGGGGCTGCTCTTTTTTTTTTTTTTAACTCTCTGTAACTGACAGAAAATGAACAGTTGAAGCAAACTGGAGACCTCATGTCCAAAGGTGCTAGAGCTAACCTGGATACATTAGCCATTTCCCCATCATGCTTAGGAAGTGGGGGCTCGAGTTTATCCTGAGAGTCTGGGTTTCAGGGGCCAGTTGGGCAGACTGGCTGTGGAGGGGTAGATGACTCCATGCAGAACTATTTCGTGGTTGTAAAGAAAGATGATTATGTATCCAGAGAAGAGTCTGTCCTGATACTTCAACCAACAGACCTTCACAGTGACCCAGAGATCCAGTTTAGAGAAGCCAGGAACATGGATCATCTGAGGAAACCTACAAGGAAGGAGCAGAGCTAGCCCAAGAGGGAAGCCTTGGGTGCTACAACCAGCAGATGTGCCAGGGGCAGAGCCACCCAAGCCCTTTGGAGCTCACATCTTGCCAGAGATTTCCTGGGACGCTGCCCCTGGAACTACAGGACTCAATGGGTGCCCTGCTGGATTTTGGACTTGCTTTGGTCCCATTGTTTTGTATCTGCCTGTTTGTACCTTCTGGAATGGAAATGTCTATCTTGTGCCATTGAATGCTAGAAGTGTTTTAACTTTCTTTTCACTTGTGCAGGGGCTCATAGCTAAAAATTTGCCTTAAATCTCAGAGGAGGCTTTGGACTTGGACTTTTCAGCAATGCTGAAACTATTAGGACATTGGCAACTCCTAGAGATGGACTAAATGCCTTTTAATAAAGGGATGTGCACGAGTCTTTGGGGGACCAGGGGAATGTTATGGCTTGTGTCTGGATGTCCCACCAAAGCCTCATGTGGTCATAGGTGGGGCTTTTTGGAGGTGGCTAGATCTAGGGTGTGTGATGCTAGTATTGATTCATGGTGCTACGCTAGAATTAAGGGTGTGAGTGCTCTCTGTTCTAAGGAGAGGTGGCCTGGATAAGATATGAGGGACAGAAAGAAGGTCTGTCGCCTGTAGCTTGTTGGCTTGCTGACTTTTGCCTTCTGCCTGTCACGAACTGTTTCTCCTCTGTAGTGCCCCTCTGCCGTGCCACCCTGCCTTGGGGTCAGCCGACTATGAGCCGCAAGCTCTATAAACTATGAGCCAAATAAACCTTTCCTCCTTTAAACAAAGAAACAAACAAATGACCCCACCAAGAAAAAAAAAAGGAAATAGAAGAGGACACACACACACGTACACGTATACACAGACGTACACATGAAAGACAGCCCATACTCATGGATTGGAAGAATTAATAGTGTTAAAATATCCATCCATCTTCTCAAGGCAATCTACAGATCCAGGACAAGTCTTACGAAAATACAAATGATATTCTTCAAAGAACTAGCAAAAAAACAGTGACAAAATTTATATGGAACCCCCCCACACACACACACACACAAATCCCCAGATAGAGCTGGGCTGTAATCCCAGCATTTGGGAGGCTGAGGCAGGAGGATAGCCATGAGTTCAAGGCCAGCCTGGGCTACATAGCAAGACCCTGTCTCAAAAATAACCTAAACAAAAAACAAAAAGTCAACTCCCCAGATAGCCAAGGCAATCCTAAGTAAGAAGAACAAAGCTGGAGGCATTTATTATACCTGACTTCAAAACCTTCTACAAAGCCCTGGTGACCGAAACAACATGAGACTGGCATAAAAACAGACATACAGGCCAATGGAACGGGACAGAGAATGCAGAAATAAGGCCACATAGCTAAGGCAATTGCTTTTCAACAAAAGCAGCAAGTATACCTACTGGGGAAAGGAAAGGTTTTTTTTAAATTTTTTTTTATGTTTTTGATATTTTTCCAGTACCGGGAATCAAACTCATGACCTTGTGCTTGCCAGGCAGGCGCTGTGCCGCTGAGCTAAATCCCCAGCCCCAAGGAAAGTTTTTTCAATAAATGGTGCTGGAGAAACAGGGCACCCATACACAGAAGGAAGAAGCTGGACCTCAGCTCTTGTCATATAAAAACAATCCAGAATGCACCAGCGATCTGAATATAACATCTGAGACACTGAAGCACTAGAAGGAAATCTAGGGGAAATGCTTCAGGACATTGGTGTGGAGAAATACTTTTGAATATGACCCTAAAGAGACAGCAGCAAAAGCAAAAATTGACAAGTGGGATTCTATCAAAGTAAAAAACTTCTGCACAGCGAGCCAACAATCAACAGAATAAAGAGACAGCCCACAGAATGGGAGAAAACATTTGCAGGATATTCATCTAACAAGGGATCAGTTTCCATAATAATAGAGAACTTGCCTCAGTAGCCAGCAGCAATAATAATCATCAGGTTTACAATGGATGAGATGGGGCCGGGGTGCAGCCCAGCGGTGCAGTGCGTGCTTAGATGCTTAGCTTGCTTGGGGCCCTGGGCCCAGTGCTCAGGACAAAACCAGCCAACACGCAAGAACAGAACAGACAAGGTCAGGCGCGTTCAGGGTGGTATGGCCGTAGACATCAGGAACAGAACATACAAAACGGCGAATGGCCCGAATAGGTGTCTCTCAAGAGGATGTGCAAAACAGAGACAACAGAGAAAAACACGCTCAACATCACTCCTCAAGGGGGACGGCAGATCAAACGCAGCGAGAGCTCGTCTCACCGTAGGCAGAATGGCTAGGATCAGAAAGACAGAAAATATCAGGCTGGTGCTGTCACGTGCTCGGGGACTGATCGCCAGGCTGGGTACTGTCGGGGGCTGTGGAGGAAGGAAGTTGAGTCATCCGGGGTCACCCAGGGTGTGGATGAAGGGGGCTTGGTGCTCTGGTCCCTCCCTGCTCTGCTCCCTCCCCCAGCTGCCATGAGGTAAACAGACCTCGCTGGTCACATGCTCACCCACGGCGGCCTGGGCCACCATGGCCCCAGGCAATGGGGCAAAGTAACCATGGACTGGACCCCGGGGACTCTCTTCCTTTTAAATTGATCTTTGTCCCATGGGGGAAGTGCGACGCGGCCCCGAGGGCCTCCGTCCTGGCTCCAGCGCAGGAGAAGCGATGAGGACAAGGTTGCCCGACGGGTGTGAGCCCGAGGTTTTCAGCCTGACCGCGGTGAGTGGGGCCTCCAGCAACCGGCATGCTCCCAGGCCCTGCTGCATGCAGGCATAGACAGATCGCAGGCAGAATTCTCATTTCTTTTTGAGCCAGGGTCTCACTGCATAGTCCAGGCTGGCCTTGAGCTCCAGACGATCCTCCTGCCTCAGCTTCCCAAGCGCTGGGATGCAGATAGGCTCCCTCCGCCCCTCTCGAGCCCCGCACATCCTCAGAGCCAGCAAGTGGCGGGGCGGGCGCCCTGGGTGTGCCCCAAGGTGCCTTTAATAACCCCAGTGGGGCAGCAGATTATTAACAACCATGTGACCCTAACACTGGCAGCCCAGCAGTAAGGATGATGCCCCCTGGGGGGTCCCTAGGGCTTCCCGGAGCTCCCCGGTACTCAGTTACCTCAGGTCTCAGTGCTGTTCAGAAGGAAACTAGGGATTAACCCCTCTGGGCCCAACACCGGGACAGGTGAGCACTCAGGAGCTGAGGTCCAGGGCGCTTGAGCGCCGCCCTGCTGCCCCCCGCCCTCTCCTGGGACCGTGCTTCTCCTCTGGGCCTCTCTGACGCAGGCTGTGACTTCGGATTGAGTGTTACCTGGTAGAGCTGGGTGTCGGGTGCACACCTGTAATCCCAGCTACTTGGGAGGCTGAGGCAGGAGGACAGTCAGTCCAAACAACACAGCAAGACCTGGACTCAAAAACAAATCAGCAAACAAACAATATTACCTGGCGGGGTATCTGTTCTCTGTTGCTCCTCTTGGCTCTCCAGTAAGATTATGTTCTTCCATCCCCCCGATTGTCTTTGGTGGTGCTAGGGACGGAACCCAGGCACTGAGCTACACCGCCAGCCTTTTTTATTTTGAATTTTGAGCTAGAATCTTGCTGGGCTGCCCAGGCTAGGAACTTGTGATCCTCCTGCCTCAGCCTCCCGAGTGCCACGGTCACAGGTGTGTGTCACATGGCTGGCTGAGACGCGGTGTGACAGGTGTCTCCTAGCAGCCCCTCACGTTAGTTTTCCCTGGGATGTGGGCACCCCGACGCTCTGGGCCAGCTGGTGCAAACGCCTCCTGCCCTCTCTCATCTGGTTGGCACCAGGTGCAGGGGGCACGCAAAGCACCCAGCTCCCCGAGTGGCGCCGGACCACGTGCGGAGGACCTGCAGGTGACGCTGAGACGCCCTCCTCCCGGCTCGGGGAGCTGGTCGGCAGGTCACAGCCCGCTCTGCACCCGGAAGGCGGCGCCCTGAGGGTCGTGGCGATGGGGGTGAGGGCGTCTGGAGCGGGCGGGGGGCTGTGTGGATGCGTGCAGTGTCAGACCCAGCGAGGGCGCGGAGATTCGCTTGTGTTTGCACCCAGAGCACGGGGCGCCGCAGGGTTCAGTCCTGGGAGCAGATCCTGGGATCAGAGGGGATCGCGTGAAGGAGGAGTTCACACCACGGCCAGGTTTGAGGGCTCGGCCGGGCTCCAGACCACGCCAGGTCACTTTCAGTAACCAGGAAAGGGCGACTTCTGTTCTCAGCAATGACGTCAGACATTCCAGAGAGCCTGACCTGACCACAGGGAAATCGTCCGACTTCCACAGGCACCGGACCCGCCCCTGCCCCCCAGACAGGACAGCAAGGCTGGAAGGGGAGCACGTGCCATGGCAAGATTGCCTTTTCCAGAACTTTCCTCTCAGACGATCAGACCAGGAAGTCCTGGAAGTGTCTGGAGAATGAAAATGAAGGAAGTGGTTTGAGAATGCTGAGTGCAGCTGGGGTGGGGGTGGGGGTGGCGGCACACGCCTCTACTCCCAGCATCCAGGAGGCTGAGGCAGGAGGATATCATGAGTCTGAGGCCAATCCTGGGCTAAACAGAGAGACCCTGTCTTGAAAAAGAATTCTGAGTGCAAAAATACTTATTTTTATACACATTCAAGTGTGAAATCTTATCAGAGAGCCAAAACCAGCAACAGGAAAGGGTGTTAGGAGCTGTAAGCCCACTTTTAATCAGAAAGCGTCTGTACCCAAAATCAGACCAAAAGGGCAGGGTTAATCACACACAGGCAGCAAATGCTTAATTGATTTAACTATAAGTGCGTGTGTG